GGCTCCTCCTCAAGTTCACGCATTGGCGCACCCGGCCGAGGTGCTGAGACGGCACTCGTGTTGCGGCGTTCACACATGGTGCGAACATCTCTGACAGACTCGTCCATAGCGTGGCACCAAACTCCCGTCTGACTGTTGCGTTTGGAGTTCCGGCACCGTAGAGGCGCCTGGCTGATCCAGCGCGCTGAGAAAGTAACCCGACGTGCACCAGCTGCAGCCGCACGACCAGCTGCAACAGCTCCTCACCATCTGCGCACGTACGTTGAACTCAGAACACTACGCCGTCAAGAAGGTGAGGCGGTGCCAGCGCCTCAGCATTGTCGCAGCGCTGGGCACCGCAACAGTAGACGTCGGCTTCTCACGGCAGCAGAGAGGCGGTGGCGATGTCTGCAACCACAGCGTCCTGGTCCCCTGGTGCACCACGAGACAGCGTCCTGGTCCCCTGGTGCACCACGAGATGTCTACACGGTCAGCGCACCTTCAGCCGACGCCTGAGTCCGCGCGCCACAGTCGCCGGTGGTCGTCTGCTGATCATATTAGCCAGCATGCTCGCAGGATCTGCCTTCAACGCAAAACTCAGATGTAATTTGAACGCAAACTCAGATGTGATTTGAACCACCTCGCTAGCATGTCCGTGGAGTAGTCAAAAGTTAGCGGCCATCTCGGATCAGCAGGGTTGGCTTTTAACCCGACACGCGTACCAAGTAAGCAACGAAGAAAGCTCCGCGCAAAACCAGCACAAGCAAGCAGCTCCCCTCGTGAGGTGCTATAGCCGTGTTAAGCTTTTCAAAACTTCGTGTGACGTGGAAGCCAAGATTTGGTTTACATCAGCTTGCTCCTGAAAGAGTGTAACGCCAATGTCGTCTCCAAAGGTGATCGTGACCAGCCTCAATACGTCAGCGTCACCTGGAAACCTTGGTAATGAGGCTTGTTATATCTTGGCAGGACTTCGGATAACCTAAAACTTCACCTCTTGCGGAATAACAATTACCTCTCCAAATTCACTGTCATACCTTAATTCTGAAGCTTCGCCCACACTTAGTCAATCTTTTCCAGCACATCCTACACACCTCGTCAATGGGCAAAAACGATTCAAAATTTTGTACACAGCCCTTGGACGCAATGCCTTTCAGACAGGCGAGCGCAAGTGACCCATTATCTGTCTAATCTAACACTAAATGTGCAAAACGACACGAACTGTACTGAGTCGTAATTCTGTCTTGTCTCAGCCCCTCCATTCAACCGATTTGGAAGTGCGCACTTAACATGTCAAGCTTGCAAAATACATGTATTATGAGTTCAGGGCTTCTGTACTTAGTTATAGACTTTCAGTAGACCAGGAGGGCTTGCTAATGCTGATTAAACGACGTCATAGTGCAAACATTGGTCATGTTGACAGTATTCGACATTTCCAGCTGGGCTTATGATCACGAGTGACAAGGGCGGGGCCGACTGAAAGGGCCGACCGAAAGACTGAACCAAGGCCGTATAAGGGTTTTGACAAAAAGGATTGGGCAACTTTGGGATTGGACTGGGATTGGTATTGGGATTGGGATTGGACTGAGCAAGGTTAAACTAAATGATACGTTTGAAAACTAAGATACGAGAATCCAGAAAATGCCACGAATGTGTACAGACCCTGTTACAATTAGAAGTCAGTAACAAATTAGCCCGAGCTTCCACGTCCCAACTCCCGATACACGGTTCTAAAATAAGGCACGCACGGGCAGATAAGCAGGGAGGTTACGATGACTCATACTGAGCTTTTGATTATACAAAATTGCCATGATAATTATGCACCAAACGAAATGCCGGAACCTCATTAAAATGCCATAAATTCGATTGTTTATGTCTGGCACCCAATAAAGCACGCTACTGCTGAGGGCTGTCCGAAATTCAGGGGCGGCTCAGCCGAAAGGTTTCGATGACCCGTACATATCATCAGAAAATGAAAATAAAGATACGAGCGGGCAACAGTGCCCACCGAGACAAGCACAGGCATATTCCTTAGCTGCATAATCTTAACACCGTTGCTTAAACTAGGTTCCGTGATAACATTGTGTGCCCAGCCTAGGACAGAGATTATAAAAATGTAGCGATTCTAAGATTTTGAGGACCTTGTGGTCTTGAGCTATTTTTCATATCCTGTACACTAAATTCCTTTTCAAGTTAAGGTTTGTTGCAGCATGCTCCACTGCTGCATTTCGATCCACCATGTGAGTACGCACTACGGAAACTTACGTATCGGCAAGATATTGATTAAAGGGAGTGTTTCACACTTGTATGGGGTTTTGAACTGAAATAGCTGTCTTGAAATTCACCCGGTGCAGTCCACAGCCTTGCCGTTAAGACATAAAGCCTTCTAGCTTTTAGTTACACACCCCCAAAGATATGCAGACCTTTCCGGGCAGACTAATTCGAGGGCACTCTGGAATCCATGACGCCATAAAAAACGCCATTCAAATTCTGCCATTGCCATTAGCCATGAGGCGATCAAGGTCAATGAAAATATGGCTGCCGAGTCGTTCATGTCTGGCGTTCGTGAGCGTTATTTCCAGAAAAAAACGGACCTCAATTGGCTCTCAAATTCCATGCGAGGTACGATTTCGTGATCGAAGAATGACGTATTGAGGAACATATTTGTTTGCGAGAGAAATTGTGTTGTCAGAGCAGCCTTTTCCATCAAAAAGTATACCCATAACTAAAAGTGAGCTTATTTCATAACATCTGATGCCTGCTTTGATATCTTCAAACGTGAAACATTTTCCTTTCAAACGGTCAAGTATCCAACGCTTTGCTTCTCCTACAAGATATCCCTCGGCCCCAAGGTTAAAACATATTTTATGTGCTACTCTCTTCCACATGCATTTTCCTTTCAGCCTAGTCACACATGTATAACAAGCCGTACTCCCAGCTGCGGGACGCGTGGGGTCTCTCGCACTGGTTGCACCAGCGTGGACTTCAACCAGGATCGCTAGTCCACGGGCTGCCCTAGGGCCGTGCACGCACTCCGATGTTAATCGTGAATGCCTTCGTACGGCGGCATTGACGTGTTTAGAAAGCTCGTGACCTGTAAAAGTGAGTTTCGCGTGCGCATAGCTTGTTTGCTTTGCCTTTCTACAGCTTCGTCGCAAATCTGTGCGGCACAAGAGGCAGAGGGCATCTCCATGGCTGTTCTAAAAACCATGTTAAGCTTTACATCCTAATTTGTTGTTAGCATTGTACAGGCGCAACCACGGGCGCTACTAAAATCATGTAATTTAATGCTCTGGAATGACCTAATCTACCTGGTAACAGTGACGCTTGATATCTTGGTTAAGCCAGTACGTTGTGCTATAATGAGGGGCTTTTACATTCTCAGCATAGGAATACGTTATACTGAAAACCAGGACATTGGGCCTTCCTTGCTTACATCAAGTTCTTGGTTTGTATTGCATCGCATGCGAGCGAAGGGATAAATACAGATTACTTCACGAGGATCCACCTTACCTGCCTGTCTTGATATTCAACCCCCGGCACTGGCACTTTTTTGTCAGCGCGGCAGACCAATAAGCACGTCCCAAACTGCTTGCTTTCGGACATGTCAACGAATATCACACCAACAGAGTTCATCCATTGACAGTTTTTTGCTAAAGGTGCGCTGTGGCATGAGATACCTCTACTTTAAGGTTCTGTGTCAGCCGCTTGTGTACCTACGTCTTTGTGTCCACTGGCCAGTTGTAAGGGAAACCATTTGGTGATGCGTCTGTTGCCTGTTGGTGATGCGGACCCCGATCATTATGACGTGCAGACCATGCTGGATATTTAACGCGACCGCAACACTAGCGGCGCAGTAAAACACATCACGCTCAGGCTGCTTCGCATAACGCGACTGGCTGACGGGTAGCGGTGAGAACGCGTGACAAAAACGCCCCGTTGACCACGATTGCTGCATAACTCTGCCTTCATCAGGCTAGTTTTTGCCATCGATACAAATTTTTCATATCATTACTATCACAACCTGTCTGAGCCAGCTCCGGTTGCACAACGCCGCGGAACAGGGTCGTTTAGCCGCGCCTGCACTATTGCCCAATTCACCTACACACCGACCAAACTGGAGCGCAAGCTGCCGGCCTGGGTCCTGTAAACGGCACGGTGAACTGCGCGGACCAGGCATATCTGCGCAGCCGGAGGAATGATAACATTCCGTGGTCACGAAAACGCACCGCAGGGCCGATTGTCCGCCGCTGTGGAGTACACATGCCCATGCTGTCGAGTAGAGCACCTTTGGGATGAGGAATACTGCCAGCGGACAAAGCACTCACCCAAGATCCCAGATATCATCGAGGCCAGGCAGCTCCTTACGGTGTAAGTGGCTGGAATGCATTCCTCATGCTTTGGTAAAAAAAAAAAAAGCAGCGTTTGACACAATGACTTCACATACAGTCTGACGCTAGACGCATCTGAGACCGTGCGTGTGCCGCGCGAGCTCTCAGTCACACCATTAACGTCCAAAAGAGGTCAGCCGGCGAAGCGACGGGCCCCGTTGTCAGAGCTCAAGGTCACGGGAGAGCGATGAGCTCGCGCTGGCGCCGGATCTGGGTGTGCTCCAGTTACGAGGCTCTGTCGAGCCGCGCGTGACACTCGTCAATGCGAACGGTCGCTCGGCCGACGCCGGGGAGACCAGGCTGACAAGCAGGCACGCGCGTGCAGCACCGGCTGGCTGGAGGGACAGCAGACGCATCAGACGCTGGCGAGCATCGCTGGTGGCGGCGCCGTGGCCGGCGGCGGGCCCGGTCGGCCGGCCCGTGACCAGCGGTGGCCGGCCGTGTCGCCGGTCGGCCGGGCGCGGGCACGGCTCCGCCACTTTCACGGGTGGGCCGCGACCTTGCGCGGCCGCCGGCGGCGCCGGCGCCGCTCCCAGCTGGCCGGCCCAGGCGGCGTCTGGCCACAGCGGCGAGACCGAGCCGCGCGCGGCCCGAGTCGGGTCGAGTCGCGACCGCTGCCGACGCCCGCGAGCTAGGAGGGCTGCAGGGCTGCTGCTGCGAGCGGCGGGACGTGCCGCTGCGACACTGTCACGGTCGCTGCCGTCGGTGCGAGCCGCCGGTCCGGTGGGGCGGCGCGAACAGGTGAACTCGGTGCCCGGGCCGCTGGGCTGAACCGCCTGCCGCCGCCGGCCGTCCACGGCCGGCTCGTGCCACCTGTCGACCTGCGACCTCTGACGTCATGGAAAAGACTGCCCAGCGGCAGCGGACGACCTGCGCCACACGCCATGCGCCGTTGGGGCCTCCAGCTACGGTAAATATTCTGCTGACTCTGACCGGTCTGCAGGCTGATGCGGAACATTTTTGGGCACTGCATTCGTAATCAAGGGAGCTGTCTTGTTTCTGTATGGCCAGCACGTGTTGATTGTGTTGGGATTTGTTCGCATGAATACTAACATTTGCTTGACCACGTTATCTCGTCAAAAAATTGTGCTATTGCGTGTGGCATGATTTCCTCAATTATCTGCTTTGAAGCGCAGCAATCTGCTATCTTGTCTACCCTAGGTGAAATAGCTCGACTGAGCAGCACAGTAACGGAAAATCGGACGCCATTTAATCATATCAAACCTAGTTGTACATACAGCGTTTACATGTGCATGCCATGGTCCTGCGCTGTCTCCCAAGATAGCGCAGGACAGCTAAAGATCATGAAAAACATAACGAACATTAAACTTATTGGGCTGAACAAAATATCCCTATATCTTTCTTGGCGTGTTTAACGACCAACCCGTCTTTCGCCGCGCTGCAAAATGATGCTTTCGATTTACTTTCGCTTCAATCGACTTGGTTGGGTTTGATGACTGTCTTGACAGTTCGATAACATCATGCAACTTTATATGTAAGATAAATATTCGACTTTGCTAGCACATTTCATTAATGCGCTCGCGAAAATGTACGCGAAAGCGTCGCATACCTCAAGTAGCCTCTGATGAAGCCAGACAGCATCTCACGCAGTCAGCTTTACACAATCTTACAACAGGTCAATTTGGCCTCGACTGAGTGTCACGATCAGTATTGCACACACACGGTGTTCAGCGGAAACTGGCAACTCGTGACAATACGCTTTCCTTGAGTGCAGAAATTCGTCGAGCCTTGCTCTGTCGTGGATCGTAATGTGACCGAATAGTTCCAAATCTTCCCATGTGGAAGGACAAGTGAGGGATAACCTTCGCCGGTGGGGCACAGGCACTTCTCGCCTTTATGTGTGGAGGCCCACAGGCACGATATAATGCAGAAATATGAAGTGTCTTTAGGTATGCAGAGATAATCGATGTCTAATTTATACGCGCCCTCTACAGTTACCGCGCATACATGAAGGACGGGGTTTCGTAGCTATCACCAAATTCCATACAGTTCATGCTGATGAGGCACGTGAAACGTCAAACCATGTTAGAGTATTACACGTTGTAACCCAACAACTTTTGCCTTTGGCACATTTGCACAATGCCGGCGTTAAATGGGCCTACGTCTTAAAGACGTTTGCTATAGGCCGCCTATGACAGTCATTCAGCAGCAGTCATTCGGTCAGAGCGCGGCGTAAGACAGCTTGGAATGCATGCTACATGACATACGATCATGGTGTGACGGCTGGACGTCAGAAACCGTTGCCATGACCTCGGGAAAAAGGGCATGGTACTGTCAAACAGACGGTGAGGGCTTAAACTCGATGCCTGAAAATTATAGCACTATGGCTGAAACAGGTAAGACGTTGTCTGAGAATGATGTCAGCCGGCCTCACTGGCAGCTGGTGTATTGTTGAGGCTTTCTTAAGTCACTTGCGGCTCGAAAAAACCGCCACATTCGTTCCGCCCTTTCCATGGTATCGTAACATACCATTCTGCAGCCAACAATGAAGACACACGCAGACACAGATGCTGAGACGTGTCAGCGAACTGGGCCACACTGAAAGAACAATTTATGTCAATTCATGTCGACTGTCAACGAGTTTAGCAGAGTTTCTGTTTGAACGCAGTCGCAACCCCACGTAATACATCTTGACCCTCGGCAGCAGCATGCGTCTTCATGATTGTCCCGCGGTGAGAGACCGCTGTCGAATGCGGGATTTCAAGACAGACACTTAGGCTGCGAGTTCGCAAGAAAACCGTATAACATAATGGCACTATTCAATCTTGTTTTCGCTTAGCTCAGTCAAGACAAGTTCATGCCATCCGCAGACATCTGAAAATATATCTCACATAAACGGGTCTTTCACGATCGATACGGTAGCCACAACTACAACAAACTTATCTCGGTAAGAAATGACGGGACGATACACGTTATGACGTGCGTCCTACCAATCTCAGCAATGATTTAATCATCATTGACAGAAAACCGTATTAATCCCACAGTCAAGCATGAGCCGAGTCGGGGCAAAGGGCCCGAGCCAACCCGACCGAAACCGAGCGCGCGCTGTCTCGGGCCAGGCAGCCGCTGGCCGCCGGCTGGCTGAACGCGGGTCGACAGACGTCGGACATTCGCAGACCATGTCCCAACGGAACAGTCAGGCAGCGGGGGCACAGGGCAGGACCAAGACATCGGTGACCAGCTCCCAGGCCGCCCCGCTGATCACCAGGCAAAAATCGGTACGTGATTTCGCTCCGATTGAAGTGCATCGTGGCACTTGAATCACTAATTTAATCGTGATATTGATATCAACCGTGGTTGTCATGATCCCTTATTCGCCTGCATGAAAAAGTAAAAACAATTTTTGAGCTGTCAGTCACTTAGGAACCTCAGTGGTGTGCAGTTTATGCACGCCACCAAATCGTGCAGAACGCTACGCCCGTGCACAGTGAGTTACTTGTCACGTCTGGACGCCCACGCTTGCTGGCCGCACGAACATGGGGTGTGCAGCGAAAGGCACCTGGCCGAGGCCTCGGAGCCGCGACCCCAGCCGCAGCACGTGCTGCCGCAGCCCCGCCCCGGCCCGTCCGCTCGCCATCAACGGAGTGGCTCGTGCAGTCCTCCGCTCGTCAGTGACCCACGGCGCTGCCGCATCGGTCGGCTCTCACAGCTGGGCCGGCCCTTCCAGGCGCCTGACCTGAGCGGACCGGCGCCGCCGCCTGCCCGCCGGGCGCCCGGCGGCGCGCCGGCTGGCGACTTCAAGAGGCCAACCCTGCGGCCCGCGGCGCCGCCCGCCCTCGCCACCAAGCAGGGGCAGGCGACGGCGCCGGCGGAGGACGGCGTGGCGGACGACACACGGGGTCGGAGGGCAGGCGCAACGCAGAGGAGGTCCGAGGACGGTTCCGCTTCAGGGAAGTCGAATTCAAAACGGTTCCAGAGGGGGGGAAAATTTGGGCACAGTGCTGGGCTAAATGCGCATGGTTATGGTAGCAGCGTGGGGCGCGAAATAGCAAAAATGAGGGAGTTTTCCACACAATGTGCTGCTCGAGACAAACTTGTTAATGGGGGTCAGCGAAAGACGGACAAATCCAGTGCAGTTTCAAGCAGTTTTTGCAAAAGGCAGGGCATTGCAAACTTAAAGGGAAACTTGAGTAAAAACGGGCACAAGAGTAATGATGCTTGGGAAGAAAGTAAAACGACAAACATTACTGAAGGAAACAATGCAGCACGATTACAGGGCGTTAAGCTCTTGCCACAGTGGCGGCCAGAACATGCAGCCATCAATCTTACAAACGGAAGGTCACGTGGGGAAAAAGAAAAAGGAACGTCACAAAGTTGTCGAGAACGCCCACGAGACATTGCCGGAAAATCCAATAAACGACCTAGATCTCCAGAGCCAGAAAGTTCATCTTCTAAGAAGATAAGGCTTTCTAGCAACTCGGTTAAATCTCTCGTGGATAAATGGAGGGCTCAGGGGGTCCCAATGACAGGACGTTTCCAGTTGCCTTCCCACAAACGGGGCGTCGCAAGAAGAGCTTGCCCGGAACGAAGCATGAGCGTGCCCCAAACGAGCTTCAATTATACCGACAAGCAAGGACATCGGAAGAAGCCTAGCCCTATGGCGCTAGGTTGCCATGGAGGCCGTCTGTCTCCGGCGCTGCTCGGGCCACACCCGAATGCACACAAACCCATCCAACAGCCGATGTCATTCTCCACTTCCGAGAGCTCCCGGCAGGAGAGATCAAAGCCGCTGCAATCGAAGGCTTTCAGCACACCAGGCTCCTGGCCGTCGTCTCGGGCCAGCACACCGGGGGGCGATGCTCAGGCCCGGCGGCGCTGCAGCGAGCCTGCCCCTCTCGGTCACCACTGGGCCACGGGCCTGCCGCTGCTGCCGGATCTCTTGGAGCCGCTGTCTCCGATGTCACCGCTGTCACCGCCGTCTCCGCGGTCGGCAGAAACGGGGTCGCCCCACAGCGGCGAGGAGATCCTTCGGCCGTCCTTCGCGGCGAGCTGCTGCCCAGCCCGTGACCCTATCCTGTCAACTCCCCCTCATAGATCGCGTGCGGACCTGCGCGGCGGCCGCCACGCGGACGGGGCTTCGCACGGCAGTCGTCAGCGCCCTGGCCGCGCTGGGGACGCCGGCCACCGGACGAGCCGAGATCGGCCCGGTGACCGCCGGACGAGCGCGACGGACGAGCACAGTCCCAGCGGTGAGCGACGGGGGCCCGCTGAGCCGGGTGGCAGCCGCAGAGGTGGAGATCCTTCGGCGAGTCAGCGAACAAACATGAGTCAAGCTGAGAGTCAGAAGACGAGCTTAGATCTAACGGAAATTCGGCAGACAAACATGGCACGAGCCGAGCGCAAGCGGGCGGGCACAAGTCAAGCCGAAGGTCAGCGAACGAGCGCTGGCCGGCCGGGCAGCGGACAGAAACAGAGAGATTCTCCATTGAATGTTGCCACCACCAGTGGCAATCGATTCCGCGGCGAGTGGACGGGGAAAGGTCACCCGGACATTAAGTGCAGGGACGGAGGCAGGCGGGACAGCGGCCGACCTGATCGAGATCGATCTGGCCCAGAACACCCAGGTGCCGACAAAGTCGCCGGCACGCCTCCGGACACAAATCGGCTTACCAGTCTGCGAGGCGGCAGCGATCGGCCCGACGTTCGGCAGACAGGCGAGGTCCCCGTGTCGACGCGCACGACTGGAAATCGATTCGGCAGCGAGGAGCGCGGAGGCAGCCGGTGCGGCAGGGAGCGCGCGGCCGACCTCCGGCCTGGTGGGGTCAGGAGCGGCGGCGAGCACCCGTGCTGCAGCGACGTCTCCGACGCCGATCAGACGCGCGGGCGGAGTGGAAAACTGGGTCGTTCGCAGTGGAAAGATCTGGATCGAACTCACGCAGAGCGGAAATGCGCAGATGCGTTCTACTCAGAGCGAAGCGGTTCGGATCCATGTCACCCAAAGCGTAACGGTTCGGATCGAAGTCACCCAAAGCGCAACGGTCCCGACCCAACTCACCCAAAGCGGAACGAGTTGGATCAGCCTCACGCGGGTTGGAAAGATTCGGATCGACGTCATCATTCGAAGTGGAGAGATCTTGATCACCCACCTCCAGAGATGAAAGACCCGAATATGTCTAATTTGGAGTGGAAGGATTTAGATCATCCTATCTCTGACTGGAAAGATCTGGATCGCCCTCCTGTAGGGTGGAAGGATCTGGATCGCCCTCACTGCGAGCATAAAGACACGGACAGCCTCCACCCTGAGCTTAAACACGAGGAGCGTCTGTGTCCCGGACGCGAGGATGAGGATCGCATCCACCCTGAGCGGAAAGCCTCGGATCTCCCGCATTCTGTGCACAAAGACGCGAGCCGCCACCACCCCCGAAAGACGGACGAGGCTGGATCTCGCCTCAAGCGTTTGAACGGAGATCGCTGCCATGACGAGCGCTTGGACGTCAAGCCCTCTCGCTGCGAGGTGACGGACGCGGCTTCCGCCCGCGGTGGACAGGGTCAGCCGGGCCGGGCCAGCGGCGAGCCGGCGGCCCGCGACCTGAGCATCTTCACGGCCGAGTACCTCTCGGAGCTGCACCAGCTGCAGCGGCGCATCATGACGTCCCGGGACGGCGCCGAGATGAGCCAGGTGCTGGCGCTGATCTGGGACACCGGCCAGGTGGAGCACACCGCGCTCTACTACGACTTCGACCTCTGCGCCCTTGATCAGGGCGTGGTGCGCAAGTTGCAGCGCTGTCTCAGCTGAGGACGTCACGGGTCAGGATCGGGCCGCGGGCCCCCGGGCGGTAGCAGGGGCGAGATACACAAGGGCAGCGGTGTGTCAGACGATGGCGATGTGTCTCTGCGACGTTGACGTCGGGGGAGTTCTCTTCGACCATAGGAGCTGCGGTGTACACACTCCCGAGGTGGCTATGAGAAGTGGTATGCCGGAGATGCTCAAAGTGGAGCTTTGCTATTACAAGCACGTGCTAATTTTTAATTTAATGAGTGGCGTGCGCGGTGCGCTCTTTTAGGCCCAGCGATGCTCGCAGAGAAGCTGCGTGCGTTTGGTACTGTCTTGGAAAGCGCGAGTGGGTGCAGATCCTGGGATAACGAGATCAGATCAGAACCGATTCTTCATGACGGTGAGTGGCGTATTGTGTGGTAATTATATTTAACTGCCATGGAAGCCTTTCACTGATGAAATGCAATGTGTTAAGAATACGCACAGCTAGTGGTGCTTGCTTGTGGTAAAGGGCAGGACATGGGCTGATGTATCAGAGGTGGGGCTCGCTTATGGTTACAAATTTGTTTTGACAGTTGTGATCTAGCCAGGTTGATTCTAAGTTAAGTTTCAATTCTGTATCTTATTGAGCCATATTTTGGAGCACATCAATGACCTAAAATTTGTTGATTACAGTCCATGACGATCATAATGCAGTGATGTTAGTTATGGTTTTTGCGGGGGAGGTTCTTAAAAATTGAAAAGGCACACTGCGTAACATCCGAAATCGGGCACGCTAGATTTACGATTCTTCCGAGAATAGCAGCGCAAATGAACGCTTTTGGACACGGCCCTCGCATACCGACGATTTTCCGGCAATGAAAAATCGTCAGTCACCAAAGATCCTTTGGCTTGCTCAGACATGTTCTTGTGGCTTTTAGTTGCATCGTTATCAGACGCTTCGAGCGTGCCGCGTGGTTGAATGATTATGCTGGTGTTTTAGCGAAAGAATGGTTTGGCTATTTGGTGCAGGCATAATCCTCAGGGCATGCTAGCAAGCTCGTTCTTGCCGCTGTGACATCGTCGCTGGCTATCTATGTTGGCTGTGAGAATTTTGTACTGCAAAATATACAAGAACTTCTCAGTGTATTCTGCTCTCAGTGTATTCAGTGTATTCTGCCAATGACAAAAATACTGGCCCGTGGTCGTCAATCATGTAGCGAATGAGAGTGGGCTGCTTGTGCCGGATTTGAGCAACGAGCCTGGATCTCATGGTGAACATACCTACGTAATTTGTGTCTAGGGACTGGCAGCCCTTATGCCACAAGAGCGAGGCATTTTACAGTTTGCCGGTGGCATTGCGGGGTGCTTGAGTCGAAAACCTCGCTTGGATTTCAACTGCGACACCGACGGAAGCCAATCTTGCTTATAGTTTTTGCACCGGGTAAGATCATCTCTGGTTACTTGGGGCTCATTTCTTAAGATGGCAGGTTTGAGGCTGAATGTTCCCCAAGGCCCTCAGCGTTGTGATGCGTGCACGTGCAAAGCCACATATGGTCCCTCTTAGAGCCAACAAACACCTGACGAGGACAGGAGAAGTCATAGGCCTACACCTTGTGGACAGGAAAATGTTACCGACGATGATATTATTCTGGATGTGATTGTGTTCGCACTCATACCTGAAATATCTCTGACAGTTCCAGAAACTTTGGTAACCATTTGAAAGTATTCTGCTGCACCAATACTTAATGCTTTTTTTCAGCAAAGTAACCCATTGTTCTCCTCACAAATCATGGAGATCACTGGACCTCAACTTTTGTGCGTGACGAATTATCGTCCAAATCTATCAAGACTAGCAACTCCTCTACTGGGAATTTTAATCGAAGTTCCTATCACAATATTCATCATGGAAAATCAATCGATCTTCAGGGATACACGGAAACCAAAGATTGTCTTTCCCCTGAGGCCTGATCTCTGATGTAGAATCGAGTT